AAGTCAACAATGACATAACAGTTTTTAAAAAAAGAAAGAAAGGGGAGATGGCTCAGTGGAGTAAGTGCTTGTGCTTCCCTGGCAAGCACAAGGGTCTGAATTCAATCCCCAGTTCCACCAAAAAAAAAAAAAAAAAAAGTAACTGACTATAACTTTAGAACAGATAGACTTAGATTTGCTCTAAATGGATATAGATGTCCAAACAGTGTTCCACCACACATCAGAAGACACATTCTTTACTACACATGGGATGTTCTGCAAATGGAGACACATACTAAGCCACAGAACATGCTTAAGTAAATGCAAAGGAATTGAAATTATATGGTGCATATTATCTGAACATTCCACAGGGAATTGGAAATCAATGGCAAATGAGAACTTCATAAACACATGGAAATTAAATACCACCCTCCTCAGCAACCAATGGGCAACAGATCAAATTAATGAAGAAACTAGACATTTTTTTTTGCAATGACAGGATAACAGAACTTATGAAACAGGCAACAATGAAAGCAGTCATAAGAGATAAATTTATACAATGAAGAAAACAGACTAAGCACAAATAATTTTTTTTTTTTTTTTAAAACCAGGGATTGAACTCAGGCCCTTGCACTTGCCAGGAAAGTGCTTATTCTACAGAGCCATCTCCCCAGCCCCTACACAAGTTAATGTTGAACACTGAATTTCTAGAAAAAGAGCAAACTAAGCCAAAAGCTCACACAAAGTGAGAAATTCAGAGTGGAAATTAATGCAATGGAGACTAAAATGCAGAAGAAATGGACAGATACCTAGATATATATGAATTACCAAAATTACTCAATCAACTGAAATAATATCAACCAAGAAAAATCAAAGATGAAGTTAAAAACTTATACAACAAAGAACAATGCCAGACCCTGAAGGATTAACTGCTGAATTCTACAAGAAATTTAGAGAAGACTTCGCACCAATACAGTTCAAATTCTTTAATGAAATGGAAAGAGAAGCAATACTCAACAATTTACTCCTGGAAGAAAGTTATAACATCTAAATCAGAGAAAAACTAAGAAAGACAACTACAGTGTTCCTTAGTGAACATAGATGGAATGTCCTCAATAAAGAGAATGCAGTAAATCACCAAGACCACACACCATGACCAAACAGGATTCATCTCAGGGATGCAGGAATAGTTCAATATAAGTAGATCAATAAATGTAATATACCATGTTAACAGAG